AACTTCAGGGCGGGGAGCAGACCAGGCCCCGGCTTGATTGCATGGGGGCTGGCGTCCTCGGCGCGGGCCCCTCGCCGACGCACTCGGCAGCGGTGCTCAACTCTTCGAACCTCGGATCTCTTATCTCCTCGTCATCGCAACTCATGGCGCTGTCGAGGATCTTTTTGGACAGTGCCACCTCGCGCTTCCTCCTCGCGTCTGGCGACTCAGGCCCGCAGTTTTTTTCCCAGAGTTGAGCCAGCGGGCGAGGCGCTCGCCAGCGCCCGCTTCCAGGAAATGCCACTCGGCGACGGGGGCGCGGTTGATCGGCGCGTCGGCGCGCCTCGGGAGCGGGCGCAGGTAGATCGCGGAAAGCGCGCTAACCACGATGACGCTCCGCTTCAGGATCGCCGCGACGCCCCCTTCTTCGCGCTTCTCTGGGAAAGCAGGCCAGATCATGTTCCTGATTTTTTTTTTGGCGACTATAACCCCAGCGAAGTTCAAGTCGACCAGGGGCGGCTCCGTGGTGAAGTCGGCCGCGTTGTCGGCTGCCAGGCGGAGCTGGTTGCGGACAGATTCGGCTGTTCCCCGCCTATCCTTGGTTTTGCCGCTGCGCGCCGACGGGTCGAAGTATACTTTGGTTTCAGCTGGGCCCTGCTTGTCGATGTCGCCGTCGTCGAAACTGCCCAGCCTCTGCGCCTGCTTGGACTCGAGTCGGAAGAAGTCAAGATCGCTGGCAACCCGGATCCCCCCCTCTGAAGCCCTCAGGACCAAGCTTGTCACCGTGGAACCGCGACATGGCGAAGCCGAGGATGTACTCCGTCGGCGTCTTGCCGCAGCCAACCGCACCAAGCATCAGAGCACTGTGGGTCAGCAGGTTGGGGATGGGACGCTGCCCGCCTAGGTCCTGCCCCCGAGGCTGGACGCCGAAGAAGTATAACGGGCACGTGCTCTCGATGGCGGCGCTGACAGTAACCTGCCCGAGGTTCGACGCGCCCCCTTTGATGCCGCCTTTAGACCACCTTCGGAGGCTACAACAAAGGCGAGAGGACAGGGCGGCAGCAGGGGAAGAAGCACTCGGGTGCACATTCGCATAGTCGTGCGAATGCGCTGGACAACGAGTGATGGCCTGTCGACGCACCTGGCTACCAACTGTGTTGGAGCCTTTCCCACCTGTGAAGCGGCCCGTCCACGTCGTTCATGGCCTCTTGGATCGCGCGAGCCTGGTTGTTGTTCCTTTGTCTGATCTTCGCAAGCTCTCCGATCACGTCGCAGGCGGCATCGGTGTCGCTTCGGTGGTGCATTACAAGCTTGTCCGCACTTGCATTCTTGAGCTCCCAGTAGTTCACTTGGAAGCCGCCAAGCCGACGCCACATCAACAGGAACGCTTTGAGGCCGTTCTTGCAGTTCGCGCCCCAATCGATCTGCATGGCCTCGTGGATGGTCGCATCCCTGATTAAATTCACAGATACTTCCTGGTCAAACATGAAATGCTTGCAAAGGTTGCACGCGCCATCATCACCTTTGACGACAACCAGGCCCATCACGAAAACAACGGCAATGCTGTTTTTTTCTGGCGGAACGGCTCCAGCAGCGACATGAGGTCACCGTTCAGGATGGGGCCCCGCGCGCCGCGTTTGTCAGAGTCGCCGCTGACGCCAACGACCACATCCACAATGCGTGACAGCTTCGCTGCAAGATCGCCCAGAGGCCTGACGAGCAAGTCCAGGAAGGCATTGCCACCGACGGCGTCGACATTGCTGGAGATCTCCACCGGCCTGGTTCTAGTGGGCTTCGGGAAGCACTGCGCGATCTCGCAGGCCGCCGCGCGTGGGATCTTGATCGCGCGATCGAGCCACATGTGCTCAGCAAGGCCCGTCGTCTTGCCAACCATTGCCTCTGGGGCTGGCTCGCCAACGGCTACCCCCGGGGCCGCCGTCGCGGCGGATGTAATGGAAGGTCTGAAAATGCAGAGCGGTAGGCCCCAGGTGAGAGCGGACAAACCCTTCCGACCTTGCTAGAGACGCAAGAGGATGAATGCGTTGATGAGAAGGTCTATGACTACAATTATTGAAGCCAAGACAAGCTAAGATATGAATCCCTGTGCCTAAAGAATGCGGCGCACCACGGACGCGAGCGGGCGCCCGCGAGGGCCGCGAGGGGCAAATGGGCATATTCAGAAATTCAGCGCGAAGTTGCCAGAGTTTTGTTTGTTTCATTGGGGGCCGAAGCCAAAGATGAGCTAGGGCGCGCATCCCTGTGCCCAAGGAGCGCGGCCCACCGCGGCCGCGAACCAGCGCCGGCAAGGGCCGCGCGGGGTAAAGAGGCAAATTCCAATATCAAACATCACGTTATCAGATATTTGTGTCTCTTTCGAGACCGAAGCCAAGATGAGCTGAGATGCGCGCCCCTGCCCCGAACGAACGCGGCCCGCCGCGGCCGCGAACCTGCGCCGGTAAGTGCCGCGAGGTGTACAGAGGCAAATTCAAAAATCCAGCATCAAGTTACCGGGCCTTTTGGTCTTTTTCGGGGCCGAGCCAAGGCGCGCTAAGACGCGCGTCGCTGCGCCGAAGGAACGCGGCCCACCGCGGCCGCGAACCCGTGCCGGCAAGGGCCGCGAGGTGATATAGAGGCAAATTCAAAAGTCTAACCTAAAGGCATCAGACCTTCGTCTCCCTTTGGGGGCCGAAGCCAAGGCGAGCTAAGATGCGCGTCGCCGTGCCCGACGAGCGCGGCCCACCGCGGCCGCGAACCAGCGCCGTCATGGGCCGCGAGGAGTAATGGGCAAATTCAAAAATCCTGCTGAAGTTTATATCGGGCATGTTGTTTTTTTTCTTTGGGGGGGGCGAAGTCAAGGCGAACTGAGACCCGAGTCGCTGCGCCCGGCGAACGTGGCCCGCCGCGGCCGCGACGCCCCCGACCCAAGGGAAGCGCAGAGAGAGAGAGAGAGAGAAAGAGAGAGAGAGAGAGAGAGAGAAAGAGATCTCAGTATCATCAGTTGTTTTTCCTCTGCGCGTTCAAAAAGCCCGAATGTTCCACGGGCAAGCTCTCAGCTGCTCTACGCAGGGCCCGGGGCGCACTATGCCAACGCAGCAGGAGATGTCGTCCTCCTTGCGCCGCGCCGCCACGGCCGCGCCAAGCAAGCTCTTGGCCATCGCGCGCGGGTCGCGAGTGTGCGCGGAGTCGCGGACGACACGTTGGACGTCGTTGCCGGGGAGGTTGCCCCACAGTCCGTCCGACCCCGCCGCAGTGACGTCGCCGTCTTCGACCGGCTGGGTGTCTGTATCGCATTGCGACAGCAAGCTGGCCACATGTGGAATGTCGGTGAAAGACTCCTTCTGGCGCAGGAACAGCTGGTTGGGCAGCGGGCGCCCGTTTGGCAGCACTGCGCCACGCTGCGGACGAGTGGCGCAGCGAAGGTGCCAAGACCCAGTGGCCCAGCTCTGGCGGAAGAGGAATATCTTGCAGTCGCCCAAAACGGCCGCGGCCATTTTCTTCCCCAGACGCGAAACGCAAGCCAGTGCGGTTGATGCGGGTTCTTTGCGTTCCAAGACGGAGGCGCCGATTGGGCACTTCAACCAATTACCGGCCTGCAATTGGTATGGTTTGCAAGCGTCGCTGGGCTTCGCCCGCAGCTCCTTGTCGAAATATTTCCCCTTGGCACGGAGACACGCGCGCATTGCGCGCAGCGAGGGTGTTGCGGATGTTGCCCCGTAGCTCTCGTGGAGACGCTGCCGTTTCGATGCCGGCGTCGGCCATCCCAGACACGCCGTCCAACGCAATTTTTTTATCTGCGGGGCGAGAGCGAACCTCCTCCGCCAAAAGCTAGGCGGGCTACGCGCAGCTTTAATTAGGGAGACAGGGCACAGGAAGGCGGGGCCTCAGGCGGCCGGAGTGGGCGAAGCCCAGGAGTGCAGGCGGTGCCGAAGTGGATGTGCAGGAGCAGGTGCGCCGCGGACTGGTACCCGGGGTGAAGTCCTGGAGGGTGAAGGAGATGGCGTTGCCGTCGACGGCGCATCGTGAACACCAGCCTCAAGCGCTGCAGAGGGGGACGTGCCACTTGACCAGGTCGACGCCCCGGAAGAAGAGGAGCACCACGAAGGCGATGTGCAACGTTGTGACGCCGTCCAACACAAGCATCCCGAAGGGGCGGCTGAACGTCATGTCGGCGTTGAGCGCGCCAGAGAGAGAGCCTTCCCATGCGACTGGGACTTGCAGGAAGTGGCCTTCAGCAGGAATGCCATGGCAGCAAGGTGTTACAGGTCGGTTAGTTGCCCGGTTGGCTTGAGGTCGAGTCTCATCCCACCTTCCTCCTCCTCCTCTTACTCCTCCGCTTCTTCCTCCTCAGTTGGCGTTCGCCCGCTCGACTGCATGAGCCTCGCGCCCGACATGTCCTCTGAGCTTTATGCCTCCTTTGACGATCGTTACGCTCCGAACGTCGCACTCGACAGCATGAGCCTTACGCCCGACACGCATTCTGAACCTCACGCCCTTCCGGAGAGCTTTGCGCCCCGAGCGTTGCACTCTTCGGTGTGAGCCGTACGCACTCCGACGCCCAGATCCTTAGTTGTTTTGTTTTCCGTGTGTTTTGTTGGTGCTTTTCATGATTCATGATGGCTTATTTGGTTTTGTTGTTTTATTTGTGTTGCTGTTTTTTCTGGCCCGCCCCCCCCCTGTGTTCCCCTCCATCCTTTCGGGTTCCCCTCCACCCACGACTCACCCACGGCGCCAAAATGGTAGATCATGGGAGGGGTGACCACATACATATATATATATATATACATACATGCATGCATGCATGCATGCATGCATGCATGCATACATACATACATACATGCATGCATGCATACATACATACATACATGCAAACAACAATCACGCATACACGCATGTATATTTAGGTGTTTAACTATACGTATATCGGCATAACTGCCAGATTCGGTTCAACGTGTAGTAACATGCCTGTTGTTTGGGGGCCGATGTTTCACGCAGCCGTCTCGATCTCGGGGTCGCCGCCGCAGGCGCGCCCGTTCCGCTTTGACCAGCGGCTGCTCGTCTGCAACGCCTACCCCAGCGCGTCGCCAATGGACGTGCGGCAGGACGGGAAGGCGCGCGGGGCGTCTTTGCCTCCCTGCTCCTCCTTATTCTAAGACCGGGTTGCCGTTGAAGGTCGTTCGATAGTTTTGCGCCACGCTTCGCGTAGACATGGCTCGGCCCGTCTTCTGGCGAGCTTGGCCCATTGTTCGCCCGTGCTCCCGTCAGCGGTTGCACGACTCGGCCGCCTGGTCGTCGTCGTGTCGGTGGCGAGCGAAGGGAGAAGTGAAAAGGAAAAGGCCTTTTCAGAAACTGGCGGGACTCATCAGAGGCCCTCGCGCCTTCTGAGGAGCTACAGTCGACCCGCATAGTAATGATGGGCAACCTTCCCAAGGGTACCCTTGCATCCTTGCCTCCTCGGTCCATCCTCCGCTTTCGCGGGGCCGCGCCCCGCTCGAAAAGCTTCGAAATGGACGTCCAAGGCCCTTGCATCCTTATCGCGCGTCCCTACTATACTGGTTGACTGTATCTCTGTTTTCGGGGAAGGCTTGGAGAACTTCTCGGGAGGTCAGGGGACTTCCGAGCCTTTCGAGAGTGCCTTCTCCTTCTCGCTTCCTCCGTGGGATCGCCGCCGACACTCTTCCCTCGGTAGCAAGTCATGGGCATCCTTGTGCAGTCGAAGCCGACGATCCTCCTCCTCCTCCTCCTCCTCCTCCTCCTCCTCCTCCTCCTCCTCCTCTGGGTATCCTTGCCTCTCCGGTGTATCCTTGACCTCTTTCGATGGCCAACCCCGCTCGATAGGCTTCGACATGGGCATCCAAGGGGCTTGCATCCACATCGCGAAACATTATGCAGAGGCACGGCCGCGCGCGTCCGCCACCGCGCTTGTGGAGGCGACGTACGGTAGGTTCGTGTCGTGTCGACCGGCGGCGACCCCGCCAGCGGCGTTCAACTTTGAACGCCGCGGGCGACCCAGAATCGTTCGATGTGGAACGATTTAGACGTTTCGGAAACGGCCGATCGTTCAAGGTTGAACGATCCCCGCGGTGTCAGAAACCAACGCCGAAGTCGGCACGACACGGACCTGCCGTAGCGAGGCAGCAGCGGGGCGAGGCAGGCACGGCAGTGTTGCCACAGAGGCTCCCGAATTGTGCCGGAGAGCTCCACGGCGGCCCCAGGGGGCGCCCAGATGGCCCAACAGAGCTCCCACATACATATGCAATTACTCCAGATTTCGTACCTCCAAGACAAGCTATTTCAGACCTCCCCCGTGGGAGAGCCCTCCAAAACACAGTCCCCAGACCCCCCCAGGCCCTCCAAGATAGCCTGGAAGAGACCCCCCCGAAATGAGACCCCCCTCCCTTTATTACGAAATCTGGAGTACATCATTACTCATCGAAAGGAAATGCTGAGCTCGCTAGCGAAACTTTCGGCTCTTCGAAAATGGCGCCCTCGCCTGAGACAGCATCAAAACCATGAGGTGTTTAAGAAGCTGTTGCACGACATCCGTTGGGGGCGCTCTTGGAGGACCCCGAAGACGGGTGAACATGTAGAATTATGGAACAGCAATTTTTTGTTGCAACACTTACGTTCAGAACTAAGTGTTTGGGAGGCATCTTGGAGGTATATTCTTTTGGAGGCGCTCTTGGAGGACCCCGAAGACGGCTGAAGATGTAGAATCGTGGAAAGCAGTTATTTCGCAACGGTTACGTTCAGATCTAAGCGTTTTGGAGGCATCCTGGAGGCAGTTATTAGGCCTCTTTGGGCGCGTCTTGGAGGCATCTTGGAGGCCTGTGGGGGCATCTTAGAGGTTGTTCGGGGGCCTCTTGGAGACCTCCTTGGGGCCTCTTGGGTGCCTCTTGGGGTCTCTTGGGGTCCTCTGGGGGCCTCTCGAGGGCATCTGGGGGCCTCCTGTGGGCGTCTTGGGGCCGGAGGCTGGCTATTAGTCCCGAGTAGTCTCTTGACGGCCCAGGTCCTGGACAGGGAGGCCGAAAATGGGCATACAATGTTTCGGAGGTGGATAGACCTCCTGACACGTCGATTCAGGAATTTGCCGTTTTCGGTTCGCGAGAGGGCGTCGCAGCCGTCATTTTTGCGGGTCCAGGTCCGTCGGTTTCGATCCCAGGCCGTTTTCACTAAGTGGAGGTTTACTAAAGGGAGGTTTGTCCACCGCCGAATGTTTACATGTTGGGAAGGCCTTACGGCCGGCGCCGCTGACCCTGAAGTGGACAGCGACCACGACGACGGCGTCGGCGGAGACGACGACGTGCGGCGTGGATGTAGGGCAGAGTCCTCAGTGGTGCTCTGTGGGGCCTCCCGAAAGCGCGCCCACGGCGGCGTCGGCGGCGACGACGACGTGGACGTGGGGCAGCGTCCTCAGTGGTGCTTCGAGGGGCCTCTTGGAAGCGCGGCGCGCGCTCTCGTAGGCCTCGGGGGAGGCCGAGCGATGGAACGAACAAGCCATACGCCAAGAGGCGCGTGGGCAAAGGCATGCCTCCAGCAAAGCTCGGCTCGAGTTCAGGCCGAAGGTGCATGCTGTTCCCGTCGTACTTAAGGACCACAGTCCAGAAATAGCTTCGAGCACCGAAAAGTATCGAAGCAGTGTTTGCCCGACACGCTAGCAAAGTGTCGAGCGAGTATCGCCTCCCAGGGCCCGACATGTGATAACCCTTCAGTTTCGGTATTTTCTTGGTGCTCGAAATTCATTGTGGAGATCACGGCTGAAGTAGGTTGGAACATAGTGCCTTGGTATTCCCCACGGCGTCGGGTTGGGGACCTCGGAAGCGCACGCTGCGAGCAGAACAGAAGCCATGCGCCAGCCCTCGGCACGGCGCTCGGGCACCACTGTCGTCACTGAGCCGGTTTCCCGGCAGGGCGCGTGGGCAGTAGGGAACAGCAGAGCGCCCGATTGGTACAGCAGAAGTCGGGTCACGCGGGGAGGGAGGAGGGGGGGGGGCGACGACGAGGAGGGGAGAATGATCCGTGCCGCTACGCAGCCTGACTGCGACAAGCCGTATGCGCAGTGGCCCCCCTTGCAATCTTGGGCGGCCCCGTCTCCGGACCAGACGCCACTGCCGCGGTGCATTTGTTCCAGGTTCACACACCAGTGCTCTCAGATAGCTGCCGTCGGGCAACGAGCACATTCTCTCATACGATTGCTTTTGCCTAGTGCGCAGTCTCTCACTCAGACGATCCGCCCGTGCTGTAGTCAGAACTATTACGTTGGACACCCAGGAGTAGTACGAATGCTGGATTCCAAAGATCTTCCGGAGAAGAGATGCTTGGAAATTGTCTAGCTTGTGCCGGTCCGCCTGTAACAACCACAGACTCCACAGTTGTGGCATCTAATAAACGAAGTTTCCGCAATTTTGAAATACCTGCGTAAATTCAACATCTCGTCAACGCTCTGAATACCCCTCGCGCTTCTCCCAATCGTCTCGTAACTTCCGGCTTACTGTCTGCACTGTTGTGCAGGAGCCCGCCCAAATACATTGCTGGACGTACGTGTTTGAGCGGCTGTAACGAAGGGTCCAATACCATGCCGTCGTCGCTGATCTTCATCAACACCGTCTTACTGATTTTCAGATCAACCCCGTACTGCTTGCCCACTTTGATTGTGAGGTCCAAGGGAAGGCTCACAAGCATAGTATCGTCCGCGTACGCTACGTCATTGCATACAGTTCCGGCTCCACAAAATTATTGCCCAGTTCGTTGTACAGGTTTTCTATGACGTGAAGCATGACTGTTTGAACGATAATGAACAAGTATGGTGACAGCGGGCACCCTTGCGCTATTCCTGCTCATTGCTGTTTGATGCTGGAATCGCCAGCCACATCTTTCAAAGGGAAAGTGCGAGTTCGATATATCGGCGTAACAAAAAAGCAAGCATAGGTTCTGGAATACCAAACCGTGCCAAGGCTTCAATCATCGCATCGTGTTTTATCCTGTCGAACGCCTTAGCCCAATCGGGTAAAAGTGCCACCGATGCGTCTTCCTTCGAAGATTCCGCTGCGTCGAACCTGCGGCGGGCGATTGTGATCGCATCTGTCGTACTGCGTCCTGGTCTGAATCCGAATTGCGTTGGTCGTATTCGTTCCTCTGCCTCTCCATGTTGTAACGATTTTTGGACCATCGAGGCGACCATCTTGCAGCCCATTGGTAGGAGAGCAATTGGCCGGTAGTTCTCAGATAGAGACGCGTCCCCTCTTTTTCCTTTGTTGGAATGCTAGCACAAAAGATAGCCGCCATGCTTCTGGTATGGTCTTGTGCTCCCAACACTTCTGGCAAATGTCCAACAGATTTCTACACGCTGTTGTCGACAGACGTAGTATATTCCAGAATTCTTGTGCTATCGCGTCGTGGCCTGCGGCCTTCCCAACCGCAAGGTTCTTCAAAGCTGCCGTGAGTTCGCCCATGGTGAAGGTGTGTGAAGCAATTGGCAGAGGCGCTCCCAGTGGACTGTCTTCTGGTGGATGTACATCTGCGTATTCCACATCCCACTGAATGCTCGCAAAATAATGTGCCAACGTATCCGCACGGTGATCGCTCTCCATTGGATCCCTGGCTGTATTTTTGATCGCAATAGGCGTCTTGATGGTCGTCTTTGTTAATGCGCTCGTTGCTGCCCATGACAAGACATGTAATTGCGCATCTAACCATTTTCGTTTGTCTCGCCGTACTGCCTTCTTGATCGATACGTTAGCCATTGCTCATGCACTGTATCTCCGGATTGTAGTGCGCCGTCCCTTTGAGTGAACAGGTCCTTGGTCCACGTTCAACAAGATCTGCGACTCCAGCCCCTGTGTGCATTGCGTCTGCAATTGCGTCCGCGTGCTCGTCCAAAGACAGCAGCCCAGTATCGCATTGAAGAGCGGCTGTGAAGGTTTCACAATACTCCCAGCTAGTGCTTGGCGATCTTCTCAGAGTCTCCAGAACATCGTCGACGTGGTGATTTAATCTCTGGCCTCCCGAATTCAACCTGCAGCGCGGTGTTCATGAGAAAATGGCGCGTCGGCAGCGCTCGTCGCCTGTCGGTCCAGTTATCGGAAATCATGGAAAGAGCATCGAAATCGAC